TTATACTTAAACCCATGGTCATGGGTTCAAGCCTTGTCCATCTCTTTGTTTCTTTTTTTTTAAAAAATAAAAAATACTGCCACATGGCATGAGGAGAGTAAAGCAAGCTTCAGGACACCATATTATGTGTTCACTTTATAATAGTACTAGCGGTTGGGCACACACGATGTGTGTGCAAATTAAATAAATAGGAATAAAAGAAAATAATAATGAAATTAATATTATAATGTGTACTTAGCTTAAGTGGTATGAGTCTTCATACTTAAACCCATGGTCATGGGTTCAAGCCTTGTCCATCTCTTTGTTTCTTTTTTTTTAAAAAATAAAAAACACTGCCACATGGCATGAGGAGAGTAAAGCAAGCTTCAGGACACCATATTATGTGTTCACTTTATAATAGTATAGATATAGACAAGAGGGGATGGGCAGCAAGCAAGCAAGCACGACAATTGGGGGATACGTATTTTCGTTATATAGAAAATATTATCTTTTAATGTATTTTGATTTGGGAAAAATATAGAGAAAAATATAATAAAAATATCATAATATTTAAAAAATAATATCGAATAATAATATAAAGTTAAATTATTTTTTTTGAAATAATTTATCATTAAATAATACTAATATAAAATTTAAGGGACAACTTAAATTTTTGAATTATTACAATATTCTCTCTTTTTAAAAATTTCATCCTCGAAATTTGTCATATGTGTAAGTTATCCACTACACACTCTGATAAATATATATTTGATGATTAATTTGATATAAAATATTATCTCAAAAAAACTTTACTAAAAAACAACTCACTATTTGTTTGTCAAAACTAATGAGAAATAATGGATGACTTTAAAAACTTTTCATTGGTTTTACTTTTGAAAATAAAAAATAAAATAAAATGAGAATACAATTAAACAAGCGATTGGAAATGAAATGATAGAATCATATGCAAGAGTTGAAGGAATTTGAGATGAACTTTCATTTCTTTTATCCGTGAACTTTCCATTGATAGGAAATAGTTTTAAAATTAGTATCTTTATAATTTTTTTTATAAATTTTGAAAGATTATAGATTTGAACCTACTTCTAAAAAGTCAAAATGAATTTTTTTTGTAATTTTTTTTTCTTCAAATTATTCAGCATATGCGTGAAAGATATATACAATTATATAAAAAGTACAAATAACTCATCTTAATTACAAGATTTAATGAAATACCATAATTTTATATGGGCAAATTACATATACACCCCTCCAGGTTTGGTTAAATTACAGATACCCCCTGAGGTTTCAGAAATTACATCCCGCCCCCTGAGGTTTGTATTTTCATAACAATTTACCCCCTGAGGTTTATATTTCATAACAAATTACCCCCTAATTTCTTATGCAAATATAGCATTCAGGGGGGAATTCGTAATTTCTCAAACCTCAGGGGGGTATCTGTAATTTTGTCAAACCTGGAGGGTGTATATGTAATTTGCCCAAATTATATATACCACGATTATTGCTACACAAATATTTAATTTAAATACAACTAACAATCTAGTTCAATGTTTCCCCCATCCTATTTGCGCATGTGTCTTATGCTCTAATGCTTTGATAAAAATAATTTTAAAAACCCAGGCTCTGACTGTAACAATTCGGAATTTTTCCCTCCGCTTGAGTGGACTTGAGAGGTTCCCAGCATTTTTGCAGGCGGTCTGAAATTTCTGAGAGTTGTGAATTCCCGCTCGAGTGTAGGAATGGTCACTCGAGTGGACAGCTTTGTTGGTCTGCGCGCTCGAGCGTGGAAAGCGACGCTCAAGTGTGGAAAGTGAGATTGCCCTTGACATTTTTATTATTATATTTGGAACCTCCTTATTTTATTTTGGGGTATTAATCGAAGTGGTAGCATAACAGTAAAGTAAGAATGAACCAAGAATTTAATTCGAATAATTTTTCTTACGAGCAGTCGTCATTCTTTTGCCATTTTCTTTTTCCACACTTTGAGTTTGGATGTGAGGCTAGAACCATTGGAAAGCTTATTTCTGGGGCTTCGATTTAGAATTAAGAACGACCTAAAACGAAGTCCGGATGAGAGAGTTATACCTATTTGAAGTTTTGGAATCTATGCTGAAGGCAGGTACGTTCGAGCGGAGAGCGCGAATTCAGCAAGTTTAGAAGGACTTTTCTAGATCATTCTTCACACTTTTCATCTCCTCTCTTCATCCCTCTCACCTAGGTCCGAAAACCCTAGGTCTTTGACCTCAAATGCCTTCCATTTCCCTTTGGATTGATCAAGATCTTCTACCAAAAAGTGAAGAAGGCTTGAAGAACTCTGTAGACGTCCCTGAACGTCCCCGGCAAATCCCGTTTTATTCATTGGGCTTACTACAGTTCGAACTCAATGTCACGGTTCTTAATCTGATCTCGTAAAGTGCAATACGAGATTGATAAATCACCAAA